AGATTTGAAAGATAATACTTGATTTCATTAAATTATGCAATAAAAAATTTTAAAATTAATATCTATTCTATGCACTATTCATTTTTTGAGGTTTTAAGTTGAAGTTATTTTTACTTCAGATTTTTTAACCACTCTTTCGAGCAGGTTTACATGAAATAGAAACCGTTGAAAACAAATTAAAAACCGCATCTTTTGTCATTTTTTGACCGTTTTTCTAAAAACTTAAAACCTTCAAAAAATGAGGGGCCTTAAACTTTATGTGGCTGTATCTTTTGAGCGTCAAAATATACTTTGATAAAATTTGAAACCTAATTATAATTTATGATGGGATTCAAGATAATTTTTTTTTCTTTCAAAAATTACTTTCCCTCAACCAGGAGAATGCAGAGGACATTTTTCAAGGGTATTCCTTGAATCCTGTGATTTTTAGCAAAAAAATATAATTTCAATGAATATTAGCAAAATAATAGTTGCAATTATCTTCTAGTCAAAAATCTATTAGGAATGCAACAAATTTTCCATTCTACTGACACACACAAAACATGAATAAATCTCCGATAACAAATGAAATGCCACAAACAGTATTTCACATATTATATGTTACAAAAAAGGTTTGGTATTTTTTTCAATCTAAATATATTTTTGAAATACCTTCCTAGAATCTCGTTGAACTGTATTCAACAACCATACTCTTAGTTTTTCACTGTGATGGACGTTTTTCTCAGACACAATGAACCTTTTCAGTGTCTTGATTAAGTTTTTGTGCTTCAGGTGTTTGTTCTGATGTAATACTGAGCGGAATGTTTTGCCTATCGATATACTCCTTGAGATGGAACCTGATTATGTGAAACTTCCATCCAAGTGAAATCTTCATTGCGAATACATCATGGACATATACTTTTAAATGAAGCATGGATTCCCAAAACTTGTCTATTTTTTCTTTGTAGGATATATCGAGATTCATCCCAAACAGCATTAAGCTACTAAATCAAACAAAAGTTAACCAAATACTAACTTGCTGAAAATAATAGTACTAACAAATTGTGTCTCCTATTTTTATGAAGACTGGTAGGTCAATAGTCCCCTACCTGTACTAAATGAATTAAAAAAATTCTAAGAAGTGTTAAAACAAAATTAAAAAGCCATGAAGCATCTTCTTTAAACCTCCTCAGGGTTTTAATACATTCCAGATACTCAATTTGAAAATGAAGTGTCATTTCGTCCAATGATTTTAAAATTTTGACACAGTTAGGTCCATCAAAACCACCACCACTATAGCCATGCTTAATAACCGTTTTCAAGAAATTCCTTGAGATTTTTGTCAGTGAAAAGGAGATCAATAATTTTACTAACGTGGTGTTCATAAGTATAATATTCAGGTGGTGGAATTATGTTGATAATTTCCTCAGTCAATTTCTCATCCAACAGACAAGGATTAGTAACATTTTATAATATTGCATCTGTATACAAGGTTTGTTATCAAATAGGTATTTTTAGAATTCATCTGCTAAAGACTCGGAAGTCCTTTGAACTCCTTTTCATCTATTGGCCCATCACAACAGCAACAAGAATATTTTCCACCGTGACCCTTTATTATAGAAAACTTATAGGTATTGCTTATCTAAAATATAAAATACAAATGAAATATGGTACTTACTGATAATCCAATGAAGATGTTGAACAAATTGAGGTTAGAAGCCAAGTTAAACTTCAATTGGTGAGTTGAAGGATTGTTTTCAGATAGTGATGATTCTCTTCTACGTTTCGAACTATACCTAAGATAATCACTTTATTGACTCTGGTGTATTTCTGTTTTTTTGGTTGAAATCTAATACTGATGGGTCAAACACATTCATAAAAATTTTTAGAGATCCCTGCCCTCCACCAATACCAACACGTACAACAGAATTAAAAATATTCAATTTTATGAAGGAACAAACTTCAGTTGCGTGCGTAGATAGGTCAGTACAATAAACAATATTTTTTAAAAAAAAGTTTTTACCGATCTTGAGCTCGCATTTTCTCACATCGTAAAACCTATTCAAGTAGCGTGATCTGTTCGTAATTTCAGCTTAGGTGTTCTCTTGTATTCGAAATTGTCCAATATCTTTTCTTATCATCTCCTTCATTATTGCTAACACTGCACAATTTGGAAGATCGTGGTTTATCTTCAAGTTCAGGGTTGTTTCACTTTTTATATGCCTTATAGGTGATTGGTCTCTGTATACTTTAAAAGGAAGAGGTTTTCCTCCTTTTGCAAGTTTTATTTTTTTACTATCACCAAAAACATATATTTCTTTAAGCGTACAAGAAACAACTCTGTCAGCGATATTTTAATTCTTTGAAGTAATTAAGGCGCGAAGATTTTAAACATTTTTTTTTTGTTGCAAGGATGACGAATACCAGGACTAACAATTTGATAGCATTTTAAGCAAAATGAATTTCTTTTTTCAAATGTAATCTTTTCAGATTCTACGTAGATGAATTCAGAAAGATTAAGTGTTCTACTACTTTAAGTACAATGCCCTAGGGGTAGTAAATAGCACAATTGTAGTTGCCATCTTTTTGTTTAATTCTTCCCAACTTTTTAACTAGATCACGACCATTTATCCAGGAAGTCTCCACAGCTAATCATTTTTTTGTCAAAAAACGACAAAAGTTTTTATTTCATGTAAATCTGCTCAAAAGAGTAGTTAAGAAAAATCTGAAGTAAAAATAACTTCAACTTAAAACTTCTAAAAATGAGCAGTATATGCTTATTCGTAACATAAAAAGTACTATCAAATTAAAAAAAATTTAGAACTTTTTTTTTACAAAAAAAAAGAAAAAGTTTTTCATCATTCTACAGCTTAGGAGCATACGTCATGATAGTTACATACGTCGTGATAGTTACATACGTCATGATAGTTACATACGTCGTGATAGTTACATACGTCGTGATAGTTACATACGTCATGATAGTTACATACGTCATGATAGGTACATAAAAATACATTTTATAAAAGTTAATTTTTTAAACTATAAAATGGTAAATAATAACATAATTTTTGAAAATGTATTTTTTTATTTTTGTCCACCACCTGGCCCACTGTGAAATGCATCAAAACGGTCCACTAAAAAATCAATTCTGCATGACTTTTGAGGTAAAGTACAATAAAATAAAAAGCGTACCTTGGTATAACTTTAAAAACATTGAAAAACCAGTTTGTCAACATCTCCGATAGAACACAATTTCCAACTTCCTTGATGATAATGGTCAACTGATGCATTATCCTTTTATCGCAAAGACTCAATATTTTAAAAAAAGAATTGTGATTGGTTCAATTATATACCAAGTTGGTGATATTATTTTTTTAAATAATGATTTTTATCAACTTTATAAAATCACTGACCTTCAACTTAATTGCATAAAAGTTTGTATAATGACAATTGACAGCTAAATACCTCATAAACTTGCTTTTCGTGTTAAAAGTACATTGACAAAAATTACTGTAGATGGGCACATATTAGTTGTGTCTAGGCCAAAACATAGTCTCATACTTTCTTCGTTACAACATTTATTTTGTTAAATAATTGTTGTAAAACGAAATTGTATTTTAGTAGAAGAGGAGGATACAGTAAGTTTGCTTTATACCACTTTTAAAATTTCAGTAAAATATCAGTGAATTATTTCTTGCAAAAATTGAGAAAACCAATCAATAGTTCACAAAATTCATTACATACAGTGTTTAACTAAGCATAACATAAGTTATGGATAATTACTCAAAATAGGTAAAATTATATTCAAAACATATAGGGGAAGTGGGGGCATAACCGCATAAGGAGGCACAACCGTTTTTTAACATTTCCCTTGAAAAAATATTATCTAACATGGCAAAAAACATACGACGCGTTAGTAAAACAGTTTCCTTCATTTTGTATATGTCAAAAAGTGTGCTTGTTACGTTTCTGAGAAATTGTGCATAATAATGTCTATTTAGATAAAAGTTTTATATTTACATCATACTTTTCCAGACCTTTTTTTTTGAGAATTAAGCAATATTTGATTTTAGTGTTAAAGACATGTGTTATCAGAATTATTTCATCAAGTGAAAACCATTTTTGATATCAGCTGATATCAAAAATGATTTTCATTTGATTCACTATGCTAGCATAATCTAATAAGCAAGCTATGAAACTGAATTCTTTCTAAAAACTCTCTTCTGGGGCAGAACTCTCTTCTGGAGCAGAACTCAAAATGTAAATACAAAGAATGCCTGCAAATTATACAAACATGCAAAAAAATCATCAAATAATCTGAGCTATGAAAGTTGTAAAGAAAATGTACCATGAAAGGTGTACCCCAACGATTTTTGTGATGGTGTTTTTTTCACTAATTGTACTTTTTGTGAAATAACATTTTCAAAAACCGTTTAATTTTTTTCTTAATTGCACCAATTTAAAGCTTAATGATGTGGTTATTGAAAGAAACTAGTAAAAAAACATATTTTGTTTTTATCTTCATCTAACATTATTCCAAACTTTACGGGGGCAGTTATGCCTCCACTTCCCCTAGATTTAAATTTTAAAAATTTTCAGGTGTTTTATACATGTTTTGTGTAACCCATCCATGTATTACACAAAACTAGGTATTATTTGGTTAATTTTGTTATTCAGGGTGGAGTTGTAAAGTGTGTTTCAAATGTAATTCGACGTTTGTTACACTCATGAATAAGAGTAGTATGAACCTTTGAAACTTGAGCCACCACCCTCACTCAAACGGTACACCCTACCACCAAACTCCCGTTAAAAGGACATTCCCCTAGACACCCGGCACTTCTTAATTGAAAACTACTGTCCAAAACCCTAAGAAACTCTTAACAAACTACAAAACAGTAAACCCCACACTGAAATTAGTTTTAGAAATTTTAATGAGTATGAATTTTTGTTATTTCTTGAATAAATTTGTATTTTGCGCAATATTAACAAGAATTTGTTCATATGTGTTACAACTATTTTAGATTATGGACGAATTTGAAAGAATGAACATAATTATCAAAGAAGCAGCATTAGATAGGGTACCGCAAGTTGTTCAAAAGTTGTATTCCGGCATAGATATTCTATATACCCTAATACAAATTCATTAGAACACCATCAGAAGAGGGGTGTTGTGTCTAATTGTTGTGGTTATTGTGAGTTTAACGAAAAGTTGTTTCTTTTTTTATTTTATGTTTTGATATTTATTTTTGTAGTGTTATGTCATTAGATAAACCTAATTTGACTTTTTAACAAATTTTTAGGCTGAAGATAATATTTCTTCTCCTGGGTCGCAACTTATTTTAGGAGAAAATATAATATTTGTTGACAAAAGGGAAAGTAATAGCAATCAGTCATCGGCATAATGATTTACTACACGTGCTTCAAATTATCGCTTATTATTATAATGTAGACCTATCGTACCCAAGTTCGTTTGAAGGAGATTTAGGGCTGTTGCATCATTATGTTTTGCAATTACCATTTGCTTTTACAAATAAGCTTTGGCTAAAAATATGCAAAGTCTTGTGAAAAGCGCTTTTGTTTCTTCGTATATTGAATCTGTTAAACTCTTAGCTTAGAATAAAAACATTGAGACAATTCAAAGTTAAATTTTTATATCTGATGATGGTTTTTAAATAAATAAAATATAGTTTTTATTTTATCTTTGTTTTTTTTTATTTACTTAACCCTTCGTCGGACGCAACTGTAACAGGCACATGCTTCATTGATTTTGTTTATTTCTCCACACCAGAGCACATTTAAATCTAGAACTTTCTAGTAATTTCCTGTTTTGATAAGACTTTCAAACTCTATTACCAAATTACTTTTCAGATAACAAAATGAGTATTAATTGACCTGTGTGTTCTGATAGGCTCATTGTGTGTTTTGATCATTGCGCCCAAATAAGTCATTTTATTTAAGTAGATATTTTACATTTTTTTTTATTTAGAATTGTTTAATTTGCTCATTTTAGACTAGTAATATTAAACTAACTCTGCGCATTTGATAAAAATAAATAAAAAATCTTCAAATGGCCTAACATTGCGCCTAATTATGTCAAAATTTATTTAAAATAAAATATTTAATGGCGTCTAAATTTGATGAACTAAGGACGTTATTTGAGGAAGAAGTTGAAGAAGAACCCGCGCAAATAGACATTTTGCAGAAGAAAGTGATATTGACTCTGAAGATGAAGTTGAGCAATGCATTCTTAATTCAGAAACTGAGCAATCTGAAAACGAAATAGAAGAAGATGACAAAGAAGAAGGAAACTCTTTTATGGGCAAAGATAAAAAAACAGAGTGGCTAAATAAATCACTAAAAAAATGTCGACGTCGAAAGTCACACAACATTTGCATTCATCTTTCAGAAGTCATTGGAAATGCAAAAAATGCCAAAACTCCATACATAAAAAAAAAGGCTTGCCCCAGTTTGAATAATTTTTGAAAAAATTGTCGATAATTGTCAGAAAAGTTTTAGTCCAGGGGAAAACCTTACTATTAATGAAATGCTTCCGGGATTTCGTGGTAGATATCAGTTTCGGCAATACATACCCTAAAAACCAAATAAATACGGTATAAAACTTTATAGTCTAGTTAATGCAAGAATGTTTTATACTGTCAAGATGGAAATTTTTTCTGGGCAACAACCACAAGGCCTTTTTTGTTTTAACAACAAACCAAGTGATGTGGTGATGAAAATGGCTGGACCTTTATTTGGATCTGGTCGAAGTATAATAGCAGATAATTAGTTAAGTAGCTTCAATCTCATAACTAAATTAAAAACTAAGAAGCTTTCATATGTCGGCACTGTCAGAAAAAACAAAAAACAGCTATCAATTGCATTCATAAATGTCAAAGATAGAAAAGCAAACACAACCTTGTTTGGTTTTAATAATGATAAAGTTTTTGTCTCCTTCATCCCGTGCGAAAGAAAGAACGTCATTCTAGTTTCAAGTTTGCCCGGTGATGATGCTATTGACCCTCAATCTGGAGAGCAAATGAAACCGGAAATAATTTTTACAATCTTACTAAGTGTGGAGTTGATGTAGCAGATCAGATGTGCGCTTCTTATAACGTGAGCCGAAACACCAGACGGTGGCCTATGGTAATTTTCTATACAATACTTAATGTTGCAGGCATCAATTCACAAGTAATTTACATTGACAATAACCTTGAAAAAAAAAGGAGAAGGCTGTTTCTAAAAGAGTTGTCACATGAATTGGTATTGGAACACCTGCATAGAAGAAAAATGAACACAGTTGGAAAGATTCCGTCCAAGAATTGATCAAGAAAAATCTCCTCAAACGACGTAGATGTGTCACGTGTACTTTAGAAACAGACGTAAGAAGAATATCTCGATACGAATGTCAAAAATGCCACCAATCTATTTTCATGAGTCATCAGGTTTTAGTCTGTCAACCATGATTTTCGTTATGCAAATGCTTCAATTTAAATGAACATGAAAAATCTAAATTAGAATAAATATGATAACATTATCGTGACTTAAAAATGGAATATTTTGAAAAGTGCTGATGTTTAGTATTAATAATGAAATGGCTATATTGAAGCTAGATTGTTTTTTGTTTTTTTACTTAAATTGTAATACTACTTAGTATTTGATGTTTAAACAGACTTTTTTTTATAAAACGTTTAAAATTCTGTTTATAAACATCCCTCTAAAGGTTAGTAATTACCTTTGGATGGTTAATTATATTATGGGTTGTTAAAAACAACACTTTAAAACTCTGTGCCTAATTCGCACATTGCGCCCGATTTCACGCGTTTTAATATTGCGCCCAATGGAGGGTTAAGTAAAGTGTGCCATATAATTATTTATTTGACAATGTGCGACATTTTTTATTAAATCAGTCACGCGATATTTTAAAGTAAAGTGTGGCGTGGCATTTACATTTTTTATTTGTTACAGGACATCTAATACATTATCGTGTCGCATGTCACCAAGCTCAATTTAACGCGCCACTTTGAACTTCTCTAAATAGGGCGTGAAAAATCGTGCTTGGTGACATGCGACACAATAGTGTTTTAGATATTCCGTGACAAATATAAAATTTAAATGCCACGCCATACTTAAATATACAAAATCGCGTGACTAATTTATTTATAAATGTCACGCCATACTTAATAGCTTAAATTTGCGTCACTACTTGAATTATTAATGTCACGCCAAACTTAATATCTAAAAATCACGTGACAATTTTAATTCTGTCAAATTGGGCTTCGAGACATGGCATGTTTATTAGACAATTTAGCGTGACATTTTTTACAGTGTATAAGCCTTCACAATATGGGTAGTGAAGAGTTAATAAGAATCTTTAGTGAGGCTAAAGAAAGTCGTCTCATGCAACAAAGGTTTAAAAAAACGTAGCGGTGAGGCGGTGAGGCAGTGAGGCGGTGAGGCGTACGCTTTTTGCAAAAATTTTTAAAACTTGACAATAGTCAAGGTATAAAAAAGCGTACACCTCACCGCCTAACTAAGAGAAAACTTAGTTATTTGGTCTATTCATTCAGTGCGACCTTGGCGTGTAAATTCTTTCAACGATGTGAAGAGTTTATAAACATTGTCTACCAAGCAACTTGATGATTTAGATGATTTAATGTCAGATAGAATAATAATAAATTTGGACAAAGATGATACTGATACTTTAGCTGTTGACTGCAATATCCAGCATTTAAACTGTTCCTAAATCCATAAAACGAATATATATATAAATATATATAAAAAAACTATAATAACTGCTTCTTCAGACCAGTCTATTTTATCAAAATGGCAATGAAGATGAACGCAACTCAGCTTGCTAAATTTTTCTTACCGTATGCGCAACAAGATACACGAGGAAATTATCAGGTATTTAAATATTGCATATAGATGATACGACAGGGAACTATATATATATATATATATATATATATATATATATATATATATATATATATATATATATATATATATATATATATATATATATATATATATATATATATATATATATATATATATATATATATATATATATATATATAAATATATATACAAGACAATCTTAAGTCCGTTTTGCTGTTTTGAGAAAAAGACATTTAAAGTTTTAAATTTGATCACAGCTTCTTATTTAACCAAAAAAGTTTTTTTTCTTGCCAAAAAATGGACTTAAGATAGTTTTGTTGTACAGCAACGATGTCTCTTAATTATTTTTTTTAGGACATAAGATATTTAAGTTTTACTCAAAGTTGCAAAAGTTGAATCATTTTTGGTTCCATACTTTGTGAGATGACTTTTGTGCACCTAAGGAGTATTTTAAACCAAAAAAGTCAATTTTGCCAAAAATGGACTTAAGTTTCGTTTTGTAGCGACTATATATATATATATATATATATATATATATATATATATATATATATATATATATATATATATATATATATATATATATATATATATATATATATATATATATATATATATATATATATATGTATATATATATATACATATATATATATATACATATATATATATATACATATATATATATATATATATATATATATATATATATATATATATATATATATATATATATATATATATATATATATATATATATATATATATATATATATATATATATATATATACCCAACGGGCATTTGTTTTTAAAAGTTACGTTCTAAATGTGTTTTAAACGTCTTTTAAACGTCTTTTAAACATTAATGTTTAAAAGACGTTTAAAAGACATTTAAAATACATTTAGATCGTAACTTTTTAACAAATGCCCGTCGGGTATATATTTATATATATATATATATATATATATATATATATATATATATATATATATATATATATATATATATATATATATATATATATATACAACATATATATATATATATATATATATATATATATATATATATATATATATATATATATATATATATATATATATATATATATATATATATATATATATATATATAACATCAATGAACAAAATATTAGATATTATAAACAAAATGTTGCCGTTGGACGCTCTAACCTAACTCTTTGTTGAAAATTCCATAAAACGAATATATATAAATATATATTAAAAAAAACTATATTAACTGCTTCTTCAGACCAGTCTATTTTATCAAACTGGCAATGAATATATATATATATATATATATATATATATATATATATATATATATATATATATATATATATATATATATATATATATATATATATATATATATATATATATATATATATATATATATATATATATATATATATATATATATATAGTTCCCTGTTGTATCATCTTTATGCAATATTTTAATACCTGATAATTTCCTCGTCTATCTTATTGCACATAGGGTTAAAAAATTTTAGCAAGCTAACTTGCGTTCATCTTCATTGCCAGTTTGATAAAATAGACTGGTCTGAAGAAGCAGTTAATATAGTTTTTTTTAATATATATTTATATATATTCGTTTTATGGAATTTTCAAGAAAGAGTTAGGTTAGAGCGTCCAACGGCAACATTTTGTTTATAATATCTAATATTTTGTTCATTGATTTAATCAGTTGCGGATTCAGACTTCTTGGGGCCCGGGGCTATTTTTGCATTTGGAGGCTTTTTTATGGGCCAGAC